TAGAAAACCGTATGGAGTAATCAGGTAAAATGGCGCCTGGATGACCCAGAAGTGGAAATCATTCTGATGCTGACCTCAAGCGATATGAGTCAGGTAAGGGGTGTCCCTTATATAGGGGAGTGAATTAATTTAAGCCCCTCCCACAAATACAGGCAAAACTGCCTTAATACATATTAACAGTTTATTTTTTATCCACCCTGTTCTTATTGCCCTTTCCTGTAATTAATGATTATGCCCGGTCTGTTCTGATTCTATATATCCTGTTTCTTATTTCCCCTTGGTTATTCTTTATCTGTATGTCTTGTGCCTTATACATGATATTGCACCAACCACCTGATTGCATAGAACTTTAAAAATGGTGTAAAGCCATACCTAGATGCAGACTGTACATAAATATATTTTATTCAGAGTTCACTGAGGAGGCCTCAGCTTAGACAGCTCAAGATGTTCATAAATCTTGCATAGTGGGATATTTTTTATTCCTTTAGAGACCTGAATTAGTCAGACACAATTACCAAAATCACCAAAAAACAACAAGGGACAATTTCAGATTTATCAGGTGTCTATCCCTTTAAACCCTCAATTTCCATGAGTGTAGCGCTTAAGTATAACTTTAACAGTTGTGAATATACATATGTAGTGCCTAAAAAGCACTTACCATCTATACAGTGCTTATATTTTCATGTATATAAAAAAGAAAAGAGATATATACAAATAATAGTGCAATATGTCTGAAAAATTTAGATTATACGTGTGAGTTATAGCATAAAAATTCTCTTTTGCCGGTCCGTAATGATTTGTTATGACGCGCCCGAAATGGCGTCGCGTCACTTCCGGTTTGTTCTTACTACATGCCCCATAGTTCTTTGCGTTCGTGGATGTCACTTCCGGTTGTAAAACGATATAGTGATGGGTAATGTAGTCCTTGATATTGTCGTTTTCTTGTATGTAGTAAGAACAAACCGGAAGTGACGCGACGCCATTTCGGGCGCGTCATAACAAATCATTACGGACCGGCAAAAGAGAATTTTTGGCGGGCAAATTAAGATTTAAAAGGCAGAGAAGATAGAAGACACCCTGAAGCTGACTGAGGAAGCCGATTTTCGGTGAAACGCGTTTTGGCTGCAAGTGGACCTATGCTAGACCACTTAATACATTAGTATTACTTATATATGTTTTTATATATTTTTTGTTTTTATAATAGTTTGTATACATTTTAATATTGATAATAAACATAGTTGTTATATACTTCACTTCCTGCATCCTGTACAAGTGATTCAAGAAAGGGATAGTGTCACTCTACAAACTGACACTGAATTTATATACTTAGAGCCAGTTAAAAAGGCTCTAAATAAGGTGAGCACCTTTCTGGATTTCATTTATACTGATACACATTGGTATTTTAAAATACTACATTTAGTTTGGACGTTTCTTTCTCTGTTTCATCTCATATACTCTGGAGAGTAACAGACGTTCCTTCACTGAGAGAGAGGGGTTGTGTGGTCTACCCAAAAGACACAGACGCCTGGAAGTTTAGAGCCTTATCACTGTAATAGGCTCTAAAAAAATGTGAGTTAATTTATGCTATAACTCACACGTATAATCTAAATTTTTCAGACATATTGCACTATTATTTGTATATATCTCTTTTCTTTTTTATATACATGAAAATATAAGCACTGTATAGATGGTAAGTGCTTTTTAGGCACTACATATGTATATTCACAACTGTTAAAGTTATACTTAAGCGCTACACTCATGGAAATTGAGGGTTTAAAGGGATAGACACCTGATAAATCTGAAATTGTCCCTTGTTGTTTTTTGGTGATTTCTATGTGTGTTGGGTTTTAAGGAGTACCCACAGAGTGTATAGCAGCTAAATTCACTTCAATATCACAATTCTATAGCGCCATTTTTCCACAACCTGTGTGTGCACACACAATTACCAAAATGTTACCTCTGTAACTACATAAGTGAGCATCAAAACACCGGATGTTGCCATGTGTGAATTATCATATAGTATAAATCATGAGAAGCCAACCTTTGGCTCCAACATCTGGAGTGCCGATGGTGGCTTAATCTTAGTCTATTCAGTTCTCTCTTGTATTACGTACAGCAAAACCCAAAACCCCAAAACTCTAATTGCAAGAAGGAGATTGGGAGACAGTGCTCTAAAACGACGCATTGTAATGCAGTTCTAATTTATTGCCCCTTCAATTAAAGAAAAGAAAAACACACAGTCGGCTACAAATTTTTTCAAGAGGATTGGAAAAATAAATTTAAAAAAAAAGATTACTTTAAGGCCCTCTTCAACCTATCGTTTCTGTAAATTTTCTTGTAATTGTCCTATTTATAGTTAAATCCCCCCTCTAATAATATTGTAAAGTGCTACGGAATCTGTTGGCGCTATATAAATGGCAATAATAATAATACTAATAATAAGGGTTGAATTGCATTCATCTGTTCAATATATAAGACTGCACTTTCTCTATTAGCTCATATAAGTGGGTGCAGACTGAGCAAGATCTTTTTATTGGACCACAAATACATATTAAAAGACCGGCTTCACACACATAGAAGCAAATATAATCTCATTGACATAAAAATTTTAATCGGATTCTAAACCATTTTTATCTTGTGGAGCTGAAGACGTTCAGTGTTATTATCTCGCTAACACAAAAACATCAGGAGCGGAAGAAGACAGCGTGGTTCATGAATAAGTGGCGTCTGCGCGTGTATCTGGAGAAGGAACGCGGCATCATTAAAACTGGGATCAGGATCAGACATCAATTAGCGAAGAGCTTACTGCCAACAAAAAAAATGAGCCAACCACAGGTTCCTCAAAAAAAAAAAAAAAGAGAACGCAGAAAAATAAAAGTGTGCCTTCTGCGAAGGAACGTTTCCACTTGTGAAGAATCTCATAATCCTCCGGGTCTGACATTACATCATAACGGAGTCTGCAAGAGGTGATATACAAAGCTGCAAGAAAGCAGAAATTGACTTTGCTTCACATCAAACAAAAAAAGCATCCCATTTTCCTGCCTGCGTGAAGTGCTTTCTTCGCTGCCGTTCGTAATCTATTGCTTTAAAAGATGAAGCCCGCTTTCCCCCTCGGCAGAAATAACCGCACATAAAAGCAGAGGTGAACTGGGAGTGATGTCATTTCATTTCTCTTTCGGCGTCGGTTATTATGCTCATCATGCAAAATAATAAAATAAACAAACGTGCACTGAGCTGCCCATAACAAACCGCAAACATGTAGAAAAAGGAGTTACCTCGGAGGAGTCAATATAATCACATAACTGAAGAAACAGCAAAGAATGAAGAGCCTTATTGACAAGTTATTTATCACAACTTAGCTTGCGTAGGCAGTAATGGATAGGATAGGCTAGACCAAGACTGGGAACAAAGGGAAAGACAGTTCAAAGACAATCACTTTTAAGGCAAGTGGAATATATATTTTGTTTCGTTGTGGCAGGCTGAAAAAAGAACTGTGAACCACATAGATAAGAGTCTAAAACAACCGACGACAGTGCAATATATTTTTATAACTTCTATGATACAATGGTAAAACCTTTGCACCGAATGTGAACCCATACCCATCCTCTATACTACTTTATAGTTTCTGCAACACCTGCACACTTTGTGACAATTAATGATAAATAAAGATGCGTCAGGGGGAGTAGGAGAACCATGAATATCTTGGCGAAAACATTTACGTAAAGGGACTTTATTAATCTCTCTATAAAAAAAAAACCACAAAACAACAAAAAACTAATTTAAAAAAAAGCAAACACAAAAAAACCCCCAAAACTGTTTTTATGGCTGGAATCCAAAATATCTCTAATGAACTGAAAATTGTAGAAGGATTGGAAGTGGTCAATGTGATAAAATAGAACCAGGGTAAAGCTGTAAGAATAAAGAGGTAAAGGATTTGTAGAAAACCGACTAAAGTGGACCACAAGAAATGTATTCCGAAAAATATGCTGTTCAAATAAAGAAAGTAAATAAGAAAATAATAAACAAAAAAAAAAAACACTTTTTTGTAGTTGTAACATTTTGCTTTTCACATTGTTCATTAAAAACATAATAAATCATGCATGCGTAATAACAAATAATCACACATGGGAGAAATAAAGGCATTTACTCAAAATCTGCCCGGCTTTTAATTACTGACAAATTAAAAAGGCTGCTCTATAACAAAGAAGGATGGAGCTTTGGTTACCAGTATATTGGTGTCTGGATTAGAGATTGATTAGCAGATTAGCCACAGAGAGTTGTCATTAAAGCGCTCATTTACAATTTGCTGCGGTCTGAAAATGGTTGAATCCGACTACATCCAAAACGACCCAATTTTGTTGTTGTTGAAAATGTCATGCAAACAGAACAAATTAAGGGCGTCTATGTTCCTTGCTTAGTTACGCTGCAAAGTGGCCTCTTGTCCCCTCCACCCTATCTGATATGCAAAAATAACTGCAACTAAAAGCAATAAGATCATAGCCAGTACAAGCTTATTGATAGCTTTAAAAAATGTTTTTTTAAATTTGTTATTTCTGTTGTGCAGGTAGGTACAGGTTAGCATCAAATACCAGAACAGCATGCAGAGAGAGATAAGCCTAGGATAGACAGTGGGATAAGGAGGTGCACATTTTTTGTAGGTATAGAAGCAAGCTTAACATTGTTATGTCGAGTGCTTCATTGGGTTAAAACATAGGTGTAGTAGTTAAGGAGAGCTAGACATCTGTGTTGGAGGTAGTAAGTCCGACTAAGGTGGTGTAAGAGACAGTGCAAGTGTAGAATATAAACGAGAGGAACTTTGTGTCTGGGGTGACTGCAGGTTTGAAGCGCACACATCTTTAGGAAGGTTACCACTGGCTATGTGTGAGTCATCGATATCAGTAATAATAGTATACCGCCAGCCTTATATGTAAAAGTAAAATGATAACAGGTCTAAAGCAATTATCAAAAACAATGACAGCTATACTGTGGCCCAAAATGTGTTAACGTGGCATGCCATGATCCAGGACTAGTCCTCTTTTAGCCTGTGCCCAATACTTGGAAGCCATATGACCATGCTGGAGGGCTGATGTTCCTTCTCCACGCTGTGAGGTATAAGCGATGGTGCAGGACTCTTGGAGAAAAGTCACTGTGGCATCCGATCCCCCTGATCGTCCAGGATAGAGCGCGACAGAGAAAATCAGTGTGCGGTTCTGAGCTGCCGCTACGGAGCGGATCTCCCTTCCAGCCCAGTAGAGGGTCAGCATCTGGAAACCACAGTCCTGGTGATTTGCAGGAGCCAAGACTTTCCCCCACAGGGGGGCGACCTTAAGATCTGGGTGGTGTTCTCCGCTGTAGGCGGATGATACTCAGCCGGTGTGGACAATGTGGTAAGGCTATGCCTCAGGCAGCTCTCAGCCCAGGTAGGCGTACCTGTGGGTTGTTGCTTGCTTGAGTAGTTAGGTCGCATATCCTCGTGCCGCTATAGGGTAGAGTCTATGGAGCTGCAGTGGGGCTGCCAAGTTAGGTCCTTGTTTGTGTCATGCGGGTTGTCAGGCGCCATTTTGAGTAGCGCGAACTTAGATTCCATTCAGTGTGGTGAGCTGCAGTATTTGTTTCAGACAGGTCAGTGGGGACCGGGATAACCCCCACCGGTCCTAGGGTGGGTTTGGGGCAGAGTAGGTCCACTTGACGTACAGGTCAGCATGGAAGTTGGCTGCCCTTCTACCGCCTTACCGGCTGTAGGTTTCAACGTCCTGTCGTGGCCCCCTCAGCACAGAAAACTCCCAGGAGAGGTATCTGTCGGTTTGTCGCTGTCTTTCCAGTATATCTAGCCTGGGGTTGCGGCAGTCGCTTTGTTGTAGCCGGGGTTTTTTTACCAAAAAAAAACCCACTTTTTTTTTATCGGTTTGCTGAGCGGGAGCTCGTACAGCACGCGTTTGATCAGTTCAGAGCTCAAGTTCCGCCCCCCCCCCGATAGCTTAAAATTATCCCATGTAGTCTAAATGTTATCGATGAACAACTTAGAAGGATACTCTAAACACCATAACCACTACTGTATCTTGGGCACGGTCTGTCCAGTTTTTGTCTAAACTTTTAATCAGCTTGACCAAACCATGGCTACTTCTTCATTATCTGTACAAATCTATCCAACTTTGTAGAGCATCGCTACACTGTGAGCGCCGGGCTATGTTGCTCCGCAGCAATAACAGCCCGCCATTATTGTCCAAATTTGGACGCTTTGAATGGATAATGAGGAAGTGAAAATTACAAGCTGTGTAAGTGGCTGTAGATAAGCAAGTCTTTGCATGCCGACAGAGCCAAAATGCTTTCATATCATGTTCCCACTAGCCAGAAAGACTCTATGCAAGTCCCCACTTCTTCGAGATTCTGCATCTTAGCATCGACATATATCCAATTCATGAAAACTATGAAAAGTGCCATCTGTAAGCTTGCATTCTAGCAGCTTAACGGTGGTTTTATTTATTTATGTAAATATTTCATACAACCCCTGGAAAAAAATGCAGGTTTCTTCAAAGGTGTTTTTTAAATTTAAATTTTATTATTTTATTTTTATTAATTAACTAATAATTATTTATTATAAAAAAAAATTAAAATAAAATTTAACCCCTTAAGGGCACATGACATGTGTGACATGTCATGATTCCATTTTATTCCAGAAGTTTGGTCCTTAAGGGGTTAAAAAAAAAGGTTTCTTTAAAGGTTTAATAATTCTTTTGAAATTGTTTTCAATTTATTTTGTGCATGTTTTTGTTTTTTTCAAATCACTACCTTTAGAAAAAAAAAAAAAAAGCATTAATTTCAGCCTAATAGTTTTTATTATGGCCAATGCAATCTACTGTATCGGCTTTGTTTATAGTCAATACAAAAACGATCTGAAAAAGATAGTTTCATTACAGAGACTAAATGTCACCATTTACACATTTAGAACATACAAAAACATCTTTCTTTAGTCAATTTCAACATTAACGGGCCGCGTTTATTCCCAAAGCACAAGGAAACATAGAAATGCTCAATAACGATAAAGCAATGAGTATTGATAAGGTAACAAGGCGATATAGCCCACTTCAATATAGGGGGATTACATTGTTTATAGAAGGATCATTACCATTTGTCAGTAGCAGCTCTATTGCTATATTTTTTTTCCCACTTGGGACCTTACAAGGTCAGTTTTTACTTTTTAGCTTATGAGGACATTTTGGTTCTCACATGGGGAATTAACACAGGGCTACACTAGCAAATTGGGGATACAGAGATGCTTAGTATGACAAAGTTGCACCATACAGAGATACCTGCCAGGAACCAGTGACTTGTTTTTGCTAGGATGGCAGTATAACTGGTCAATTGTCAGATATACATTATTAATCTCTGATAACTGACTCATCCATTAGGGATCTGACCTACAAATGGTCCAGCATTAACAATGACTCGTGGGCTATTTATGTAGCAATCTGCAGTGATGATAAAAAAAGTGAATGTTTGGGGAATTAAGTCATATTAGAGATTTAATGGGATTCTACTCTGTAATATATTATAAAGATATGAAATTCACATATCAGAGGAATTGTGAAATTGGATGCCTTTACAACAAAGGCTTTTTAGACATAGTAAACGATATCATTTATGAAATCAGTATGGACCGAAAGTCCTTCTGTTCTTCTTAACAGATTTCCCCTTTAGTGTATTTCTCAAACATATTAATACTGGTGGGATGTCGTAGAGCCTCGGGGAGTCTTGCGGAATCACATAAAATATTTCTGATTTATTTTCCCAATAGTAATAACATGAAGCACTTAGTGCTAAAATATTTCAACAGCTCCAGTATTTTTTTTATTTTGCTTGATTAAACAAATGTTGCCGTCAGTTAATCTCATTTAACAACAAATCAGTCCAATACTAAAATGCATGTACTGTACTGTATGGCCATTTCTTTGACCCTTTCGTGGCTAGGATCGGGTAAATTTGGCCTGGTGCATCATGATTTAATTAAAGAAAAAATTAAATCTATTGAATTGTTAAAACTCCCAATTCCTTTTAATGTTACTTTCATTGTGACGCCATGGTCCCCTTCCCAGTAATCCGGCAAACAATTTTGCAATGGTTCACCCTGTTACCTGGGTCCTTTCTGGGCTCCAACTGCCCTCCAGTGGCCAGTGACAACATCAGCCTTCTGCAGAGGTGCTGGAGGCGGAAGTCAACCCCCCGGCCATTAATATCACAGCGAAACGCTGCGCATGCAAACTTAAGGCACCATGACGACTTCAAATCACGGAAGTGGTAATGGTGCTTGGAGTAACCTGTTAACCATGGCAAACACTTGACTCATGTACTGGCTGAGTTTCACCGAAAGGATTATAAACAGAGTTACACAGTGGAGTTCAGTTACTTGCATACATACAGCGAAATTACATCAAATCATCTTAATGGAATACAACTCACATGTACAAAGATTTGGGCTGCAGTACCTCATATATGAACAGTGGACAATATACAATATATCTTAAAGTTAATTACATGAACACACTTAATGCCTAAAACATATACTTTTATGGCGTACCTCGCTCCTCTTACCAAGGGGTGCAATTTGAACTTAGAAAACGTTGACATCGATAGCCTTCCCACGCGGTGCTGCTAGCTTGCTTGGCATCTAAACGCTATGTCACAGAGAGTTTTGCCGCCGGATCTAGAGGAAGGAGAGACTACTTGACTGTACAAGTTCGGGAGCAACAGCTCTGATGACATCAGTGCGGAACAACTATTTAAAATTACTAGAGGACACTTACACCCCTGATCGAGTGTTCTCCTCTCCGTCATGTCAAGGATGAAAAAAAATAAATGATTGTATTCTCCCTCTTAGATTTCAATGTCATTCTCAATTGTGCATTTAGTGTGCTGTTTTTGCTCAGTGTCTACAGAAAGCATGTCATTTATTTGAAATCTTACAGTTCTAGGTCACAAAAACCTTGAGATATTAGAGTGATTTTGATATTTCATCAGTTTATCTAATGCACATCACTGTGAAAAACTTTACATAGCCACAGAAACGAAACATACTTAATGCATAATGTGACCCTTAAAGCAGGGGATTATGGGAAAAGTAATTAAAAAAAAAAACACAACTTATTGCTTGTCAGAGTTTTTTACTTTTATTATTGAACATATCTGCTCACATTTCACTGCCATCCACCTGTTCTGATTTCAGAAGAATGCAAATTCCAACTCCTGTAGACTCTGAAAATCTATGAATGAAAAGGTTTTACACAATTGATATTTAAAGGAACACTATAGGGTCAGGAACACAAGCATGTATTCCTGACCCTGTAGTGTAAAAAACACTATCTAGACTCCCTGCTCTCACATTGCCACCCTAAATATAATAAAATATTACCTTTATTCCACTCTGCTGCTGCTGGCTGTGCCCCTGATCTGCCTGCTTGGCTGTCATCATCAGAATTGTTGATCTCAGCCAATCCCAATGCTTTGCTATAGGAAAGCATTGGATTGGATGAGATGATCAATTTTGATGATCTCAGCCAAGGGGACAGGCCAGGGGTAGAGCCAAATGCCATCCTGGCCAATCAGCATCTCCCCATGGAGATGCATTGAATCAATGCATCTCTATGAGTAAAGTTCTGTGTCTTCATGCAGAAGGTGGAGACACTGAATGTCAATGTTGCACACTGTGCAGCACTGACCCAGGAAGCACCTCTAGTAGCCATCTTATACAGTGTTAACTGCAAAAAGCCTGCAGGGACAGACTATACTCACCAGCACAACTGTAAAATCTGTAGTTGTTCTGCTGACTATATAGTGTCCCTTTTACAAGTAATTATGGCCCAATAACCAATTACCATACAGATGACTTATCAGAGTCAAAATTATTTTAGTATGTATCTAAATTCCGACATGAACCAGACAGGACTGAGATCTGTATCCTGGATTAGCCAAATATGCATATTAAGAGATTGTCCTTATTTAGCCCATAGAAATAAATCAGATTTTGACTTTTATGACTGTTTTAATAATTATAATCTTGCACTTTCGGGGTCCTCAAAAGCCCTACCATTAACAGGAGATGATGTATGTCTAAATGTTCTAATGACGATTTGTCCAGATATTAATGAATCATTACACACTTAAACCCTCCTTATCTCCCTCCTAAATTAAAAAGTTCTATAAATGTATCCGTTATCATTTATTTACAATCAGTCATAAAAACCGAGTGGAAACAGATGGCCAGTGTTTAAGCTGACAGTTGATAATGTTTGTATTAGATTTTATCCGCTTTGTTAAACATATCACAGTGAATTATATTTGCGCAATAACTGCTCCACAAAGTACACTTAGTAAAAGCATTATACTTTAAAAGGCATTATAGTTCTTATTTAAAAGGTGCGATTCTGGGGCACAGCGCTAAGTGTGACAAAACTGGACACATTTTACTAGTTTCCATAGTTACTGCTAGACTCTTAGCAAAGGAAACTGTACTTTTTTCTTAGAGGCACTGAAATTTGTGCTGTCATCACAATGCAACACATATGACATTTTTACTCAGTGCTGGGAGGTGACCCTGCTTTCATTTTTTCCCCCAGTTTTTTAAAAATCAGTTTTAAAGTGCGTTTGTCTGCTAAACAGCTCAGTAACAGAGTATTTGAAAGAAAATCCAGTCAGATTACATATACTACCTATTTTTGTGGCATTTTGTGTATTCGCCAACAAAATAAAACACTAGCATGTTCAAAAATGAAAATAAAAAAACTTTTATACAATGCTGTCCAACGTCTCTCGTACAGATGCACTGGGCCTCTAAAGTGCACGAGCACCAATCACATTCTCAGAGGAGCACTGAATCCAAAGCTTCTCTGTGCGAGTTAGTGTCTCTGGTAGCTGTCTGATAGACAACCACTAGACGCGTTCTGACTGCCAAATGTAAACATTGCCGTTTCTCACAAATAGCAATGATTACATCTGACTGCAGGGACAGGGTATTGGCATGGAATACATGACATTTGTATATAGTCGTTTCAGGTTTCCCCAAACTCCGGCCCTCCAGATGTTGCTGAACTACAACTCCCATGATTCTCAGCCTACGTAGTTAATTCATAGAATCATGGGAGTTGTAGTTCAGCAACATCTGGAGGGCCAGAGTTTGGGGAAGCCTGGCTTAAACTACAATGCTTCTAGTGAGCATAAAACACTGAGACACAGTCCTGTGCACTGACGGTGGCCTTGGTATTCCGTTCTTCATCCTTGTTTGTTAATTCTTCTAAAACAAGGTTCAATCGAGACTCAAGTCCAGGGCCGGACTGGCCCACCGGGATACCGGGAAATTTCCCGGTGGGCCGTCGGCACCTGGGGCCGGCCCTTTAAATACTGCAGCCGCCTGAGCGCTCTGTGAAGAGCCTCAGACGGCTGCAGCTTCTCCCCTGTAGCGTGGCCGAGCTGCACTCCGGTCCGCTGGGAGTTTGGTCGGGTTGTCGGAAGTCGATAGGAAGAGCAGGCAGACACTGAGTGTGCACTTCCTGTCAGTCCGGCTGGTTACAGGAAACAGAAACCCTGCGCGGAACAGGAGTTTCTGTTTCCTGTAACTGGCCGGACTGACAGGAAGTGCACACTCAGTGTGCACCTTCCTATCACTCCGGCCGGCCACCGCGGACCGGAGTGCAGCTCGGCCACGCTACAGGGGAGGGGGTAAGAAGAGAGGGAGGAGGGGGGGTAAGAAGAGAGGGAGGAGGGGGGGAACAAAAGAGGGGAACAAGAAGAGGGGGAACAAAAGAGGGGGGGAATAAAAAGAGGGAGGGGGGAAATAAGATGAGGGAGGGGGGGAATAAGAAGAGGGAGGGGGAACAAGATGAGGGGAGGGGGAACAAGAAGAGGGGAGGGGGGAACAAGAAGAGGGAGGGAGGTACTCACAAAGAGAGGAGGGAGGGAATAAGAAGAGGATGGAGGGAACAAGAAGAGGGAGGGGGGGGGAAATAAGAAGAGAGGAGGAGGAATAAGAAGAGGGAGGGAGGGGAATAAGAAGAGGGGAGGAGGAACATGAGAATAAGATAGGGGGGGAATAAAAAGAGGGGGGGAATAAGAAGAGGGGAGGGAGGGGAATAAGAAGAAGGGCAGCTCTATAGGACAGGGGCCAAGACAGGGAGCTCTTTCACACTACGCGTGCACACACACACAATGCATCCCTATACATACACAGAAACACAACATGCTTCCCTTACACACAGAGAAACACACAATGCATCCATTACACACACACACACAATGCAACCCTTACACACAAAGACAATGCATCCTTTGCACACATACACAGAAACAGACAATGCAAACCCGTACACACGCATGCAAACACACACACTTCTTTTCTTACATACACACAGAAACACAATGCATCTCATGCACACACATACAGACACACACCTTGCATCCCTTATGCATACAAACACAGATTCACACAATGCATCCCTTACACACAACCAGAAACACATAATACATCCCTTATACACAAATACACACTGCTTCCACTACACACAAACACACTGCATCACCTGCACAAACTGGTAACCCTAAACACTACATACCATAAGCACACATATTAGATCCTCTACAATAACACATAACACATCCCCTACACACTCCACTCCCTGTGAGCGAACTCATGGGTGGGTGGAACTTATGAGTGGGCCTTATGGGCATACTCACCGTCAGGCCCTGGGGCCCAGACCTTGAGCTGTGTAAGGGGCCCCAAAAAAATTGAGCTGCTTCCAATTCTCCCAGAACATTGAATTTTGTGACCACAGTTGCAAACAGCCTCCAGAGATCCTGTTCTACACCAGACCAGTGGAGCCAAACTGCAGCCCATCATCATCCTCATCTGCTTGTAAGTAGGCAATCTAGTATATTATTAGTGACACTAATCTATAATTTACCTCACATTAAAGGGACACTATAGCTTAATGAAGTGGTTCTGGTGTCTATAGCTGGTCCCTGCAGGCTTTTTAATGTAAACACACACTGTGTGCAGCACTGGCGTTAGTTCATATGGCAGATCATATGGGTGGGGCATTGTGATGTGACATGTGGGGGCAGCAAATTTTTATTTTGTCTAGGGCGGCAAAAATCCTTGCACCGGCTCTGATCCTGGGCAGGTGCACCAGTCTACTTGACTGGTTTTGCCCCCCAGGCCTAAGGCTGCCAGCCCTCCCCTGGCCGCTGGGGAGGTCTTTTGGCGGCCGCTGGCGGACTTGTCCTGGCGGCCGCTGAGGGAGCTGCGCGAGCTGCGCTGGCTCTGCTCCCCAGCACGCAGCTGAATGAGACCAGAGCCGGAATATGACGTCATATTCCGGCGCCAGTCTCATTCAGCAGCGCGCGAGGGCGGGAGGGCACTAACACAGGAAGCACCTCTAGTGACCGTCTGAGTGACTGTCACTAGCAATGTCATTTTGAAGCAATGTAAGCACTGCCTTTTCTCTGAAAAGTCAGTGTTTACGTTGAAAAGCCTGTAGGGACATGCTATAGACACCAGTACCACCACATTAAGCTGTGTGTGTGCGTCTGCTAGTGAGTGAGCTTGCTTGCATGCGTGTGCCTGCTAGTGAGTGAGCTTGTGTTTTTATGTCAATGAGCTGATGTATATCAGTAAGATTGTTTGTCTATGAGGCTGTGTATCAATGAGCTTGTGTGTGTCACTGAAATGTCAGTGAAATTGCCTGTGTCTGCATGTGAGTATGCTTACTGTATAATTAAACGTTTTACCCTGAAAGGACCAATATTTTATATTAGAAAAAGCAATATATATATATATATATATATATACTCAATCATCTGTCCTGGCAAGACATAGCCTTACATATTACACGCGACAATATATGGCGCAGTGACTTATGGGGCTGGCACAAATTTTTTTTCCAGGGCTGCTTTGTATCCCCAGTCCGGCCCTGCTCAAGTCCCTTGAGATTAACCATTAAATATTGGCATCATAATGGCAAGACTTGCTTTCCTGTGAAAGATATTCTAACATGTCACTGTGATAGAGATTTTACATCAGGCCTCTAGTGGTCAAAACAAGAATGGTAACACACAAGGACAACTAAGAAGGAAGATAATTACAACATATAATAGTGGCCATAAAAAGAAGTATACACAATATATTTTCCATTTAAAGACAATAATCTGCCTTGCTGGCTGTTATCATCCAAATCCATATGTATCTCTAACATCTAACGAGTTACTCCAATCGTTACAACCACTACAGCCCGTTTTAGTGGATATAATGCTAGGATTACTCAGGCCTGGTTTCCTTGTAATTGGGCAAACCATTTAGCAATGGTTTGTGCCCTAATATGTCTCCCCGTCATGATCGGAGTCTTCCTGGTGGTCCAGTGATGACCTTCAGGCTTCTGCAGAGCTGCAGTAACTGAAAGCCATGGCTGTCATCATTCGTTGGTCGAGAGTGTCAGCTGGCAGCTCACATCCAATGACGGACATTCTGTGCAAATAAATTTACACAGAAAATACATTAAAATTGACATCCCAATGGAGCAGCCAAAGGTGGCGTTACACCTCAGGCACCAAAGGGGTTAAACTTGGTATATGCATCTTTTTGTAGCAAAACACTGTACATACAGACTCCAGGCACCATGACCACTTCACATCACTGGGATGACCCTCAATCACAGCTCAAACCTTTGTCAGAGAGAAAAAAGGTCAAGAAAGCGGAGAAAGAGAAATGAGTAAAACTAAGCTTTGGAACAGCCGTCCCTCGCTCCTGCCGCCCTCTTCGTCCTGCTGTCCTCTTCAGCTCTTGGAGGAGCCAACTCAGGTCTTTACTCTTGCGCATGCACGAGAGTACACGATGGAGGTCTGTGGTGGATTCCTTGAGACTGCAGGTTCCTTCACAGACAGAGTCTGAATACCACAGTCGCCACTTGTTGATGGCAGAGCTACGCATTTTGTCAACCTCAGGCTTGTCCATATGACAAAGTAGTCCCTGACGCAAAAGTTCGCACCAAAATAGTGCTGGCACCATATTCATTACAGTGAGCTGCAGTGGTTATGGTGCTTGAAGGGGTCCTTTAATAGTGTCAGGTATACATACAGTTAATAAAGCTGTATGGTCTAACACACAATGCATGATTCATCTGGCCAGTATTATATTTATAAGTGTATAGATAGAAAAAAGGGAAATATAAAACCTTCTATTCTCACGCTGATTTTTTTTTACCTTCATAAACTCTAACTATAGCTTCTGATATTATCTATTCTGTTTTAATATTCCTCTTCCATGAAATTCTAATCTTCCACGCATTGGCCGCCAGTCAGTTCCCTGTCTAGTTTGGATCAGGTGTGATAAAAATATTGGCCACATGGACCGCGAGAATTGTGTTTTAGAAAATGTCACTTTAGATTAGGATCTGCCACACTGGACGGCTCGATTTACTGTGACTATATTATATATATCTATATATCACAGGAAACATTTTATATACAGTACTTGTCAGAGTGTTACAAACAAGATAATTATTCCGTTGATCAAAGTGTTCTAATCGCAGTGTCACCGTATCCATGAAACTGCTGCTTTATGTCTTACAGAAAGATAAATAATGACTTCAGAGGTTTGTTTAGGTTTCGTTTAACACTTTGCCGGCGGGATGAGAAATACTACAGAGAGCAATACTACAAATACTTGAGAGAGCAATACTACACTATCAAGAGGTCCTCTCGTTAGCAGTTTTAAAAAGATACTCCATGCTGAAGTTGGCCAACCATTTTGTTGTAATGCATTAAAAGATAATTACGCACAATAGTGTGCAAATTGTTTCAACTTCAATTTCTACTGAATTTAGGACTGTTCCATGGAATTTGAATATAGAAACTTTTTATTTATTTTTTAGCAAAAACTAGATATTTCACTAAATGTATAATTAAAGGGTTCCTCCAAACCTTTTTAGTTGGTTATTAAACTAATGCCCTATGGGTAACAATCCCCTCCCCAAAAGAAACACAAAACAGCATTTTAAAATAAGTTTTGACTTACCTTAATCCAGGGCTGGGCAAAGCTCCTGGCACTGCTTGGCGCATTCACTGCTAGGAAGCCACGCTGAGGTCCAATCAAATGCTTCTCATAGAGGGCTCAGAGCGCATGCACATACTCTGAGCCAGCAGGGGAGGGGAAAGAAGAGGAAGGGAGGGAGAAGAGGAGGAAGTAGGTCGGGGTGAAAAGGGAGACCGAGGCTGGAGGGGTGCTTTCAGTGTAGGAGGGAGGCTCTGCTTGCAATGGAGAAGCTGTCATGTCTGTCACAGTGGGCAGTTCGTGCCGACGACAGATGTAAAATATGCACAGAATTGACATCAGGCAACCTGAAGCAGAGTTGCCTAAGTCATGTGTGCAGGGGTTGCAACTAGCTCTCAGCACAAAATGAAAAATATATGCAGTGTTTCCAGCTGAACCCTTTTGGAGGCACCTTCAATGGATGAGGTTATAAAAAAAACTCTGCAGTCAAAAGACACACGTCAAGACCAGACAGAACTGGCGCAACCATAAGGCGGCACAGGTAGCTCTTAAGGTGAACTAGGAGAAAGAGACACACTGATGGACTGGGGGCAGAAAGACACATACTGATGGGCTGGAGGGAGAAAGAGACACACTGATGGGCTGGAGGGAGAAAGAGACAAACTGATGGGCTGGGAGGAGAAAGAGACACACTAAGGGGGTGTGGGAGAAAGAGAAATACAAAGGGGCTGTGCGAGAAGAGAAACGCAGATGGGCTGGGTGTAGAAAGAGACACTGAAGGGCTGGGTGGAGAAAGAGGCAAACACAGGAGTTGGGGGACCATAACAAATGGGGGATAAGATACACCGAAAGGGTTAAGACATTCAAAAGTGGTAAGAAATTCAAGAGAAATTCAAGAGGGGGTTAAGTGACATACAGGCGAAGATGCATTTAGGGGAGGGGAGTAAAATGCATCTTTGCCTGTGTAACCAAAAATCCTTGCACCAGCCCTGTTCCTATATTAAAGCATTTTGGCATACAGTTGCCCCTATATTTTTTCCAAATTCCTCCTTCCCGTCCTTATGCAATCTCAGAAACAGAGAAAATAAGTTAATATCTAAATTATTGGTAGCCATGAAAAAAATCCATTGAGGCCCACAGATCGAAGGGTTCATTGTACCCTACCAAGTCTCAAAATGTCATTAATAAATCTTTAGCCTGATCTAGGAATATTCAGATAAGATAGACAAAATAGTGTTTTATTTGTGCATTCAAAACAGGTCTTGTTTTAAGTTAGGAGAACACTCCAAGCACCATAACCAAGGCAATGAGCCCTACGGGAGTGCCCTGGCATCTCCCGTTAACGGTTTGACTTCTTGGGGTAGCACAAAGGGACTCCTAGCACCATAACCACTTCATCACATGATAGTGGTTATGGTTCTTCTATTGTTCCATTATTGTGGCTATTTTAAATCATCAGAATGATATTATGGTGATCGTGCTCAGTAAATTGATTGATGGTCAGCCCACAGTCAAGTTGCACATAGTGAGAGAGAGAGAAAAAAAACAGATTTAAAAACCTCAAAACCAAACGCCCAAGCCAATGAGAGTTTAAACACTGGGAGCTAATCAACTATTCCTGGATGTTCGATAGCCTTCCTGAAGGGAGGTACAAAAGATCAAAAAGTACCTTCATTAATTTACCATTAGCATAGCATTAAAAGTAAATACATATTGAGAAATTAAAAAAAACGTATAAAAAGAAAACAACACACAAAACAAAATAATATTCTCGTTAATGTTCTTTATTGGCTGGGGTAAGAGTTCATCGGTCATCGATCTTAGCTCAAGACACATACCATTCTGTTTCTAACTCGGATTAAAAACAAACAAAAAAATAACTAAAAAATAACAGCCCTGCTCAGCTTGAGTTTGGAATCATCTTTTTTGGGGAAGGAAAGGAAAATATCTGAAAATGACTTTGAACATAAATCAGCACAAGCTATCTAGACCGAGCTGCCATCGACAAATCGCCTCTGTAATATTTCACCTAACAAGTTTCATCCTTGAGGAAATTCTAAATCGC